TATAACACTACATACATGGCTGAGAGGAAGGCAGGGGCCGTGGTAAAGTCACAACAGGTTAAACACATTTAATGTGAAACAAGGGGCTTAGTGGAAAGAGAGCACACTGAAGTGGAGAGGGATGGAAAGGAATTTGGAAAGGAAGTGGATGTGGAGGTGGATAAAGCACTTCCAGGGAGATTGGAACAGCAAGAGAAAAGGTATACAGAAGGAGAAGGGAATTATGGAATGTGCTGGAAGAAAACCAGAGTTCAAGTTGACGAGAGCCTGAGAACTTTCAAGGGATCATTAGGATCCCAGCTGAAGACAGGGCATCCAGCGGAAGGACTGGAGGGTTATTCTGTAGGTCGTGGAGCCTCTGAAGGTCCGTGTGACTTTCAGTATGGCTGCCTAACCTACTAAGGCCTCAAACTTCACTGCTGTAGAATAAAAATCTCACTCGATCCCACCTTCCCTAGATGGTATGGTGAGAAATGAAGTCCCATCTGAAAAAGGGCTTGGGCTCCGGGAATTGGGTGGGCCACTAGAAACGGGCGGAGGTTCTCGTCCATCACCCTGCCTCTGTGCAGTCTTGTTTCCAGCAAGACTTACGAAGGTTCTGGGATCCTGCCACATTGCTGGACGGCCCTCGCTCAGATGGTCTGGAAGAGTTAGCACATCCTGCCCCTGCCCACAGCTTGGCTGCAGGCCTGAGCCCCCCACTCCTCAGGGGGCTGGTGGGTCTCCTTCAAGCTCCCCTCCCTCCCCCACAGCTGCTGTTCCTGACGGGCCTCTCCCTCATCATCGGCCTGAAGAAGACCTTTTGGTTCTTCTTCCAGCGGCACAAGCTCAAGGGAACCAGCTTCTTCCTGGGAGGTGTGGTTATCGTGCTCCTACGCTGGCCCCTCCTGGGCATGTTCCTGGAAATCTATGGATTCTTCAGCCTGTTCAAGTGAGTGCAAAGCCCTATAACCCTAGACAGACCCACCAAAGGGTCTGAGTGGCTGAGATTACCCCAGCAGGGTAGTGCAGAAGGTGGGACTTTATCCTGCAAGAGATGAGAACTGTGGACACTGTGGAGAGGCCCCTAAAGCAAGCTGAAAGGTACTTTGGAGGGATTAGCCTGTCCATCAACAAATATCGATAGAGCTCTGACTGCGTTCCCAGTGCTGTGCCTGTGAGTAGGGAAGAGACACGAAGCCTGCCCTCAAATCTCAGCGATCCAGCTGGAGAGGAAGGGCAGTGAGCTAACACTGCCAGGCACGCTCAGGATCATCATCTGATTTTATCACAACAACCCACTATAGGATTCTCCTCTACTTCACACACAAGAAAACCAACATTCAGAGAGGTTGCCCTGGCCTGAGGTCTCAAACTGGTATGTGACAAAGGTCGTTCTTGAACCCAGGGGGCTCTGGCTCCTGGCCCCTGTGTCACCCCCTGGCCTGGCCTGTGTCAGCCCTGGGCCTGTGAAAAGGCAGGGTGAAACTCAGCCGTGATGTGTGGCCGCTGTCAGGTCTGCAGGCACTCAGAGGGGAGCCCAGAGTGACGTTGTAGAGGAAGCGGGACTTGAGAGAAGCCTTGAGGGATGGGGAGGGTCTCAGAGAAGTCTGGAGGGTACTGGGGAAAGAAAGGAAGGGTCCTAGGGAAAGCGGGGTGGGAAGGAAGACTTCATATGCCTATAGGGTACAGTGGAGAGGATAGGTGTGGGATGGGGACAACGGGGACTGGAAGAATGATGAGAATGATGGCTTCTGCAATCATGGAAGGGAGTGGGGCTCGGAATCCCTGGGTTCTCATAGGAGCCCCTGTTTGCTGAATGCAGCCTTGAAACCACCAATTGGCCTGAATGGCTTAAGCCTCAAACATCGGGAAGTGTGGCTTTAAATTTTCTCACGTAAACCTGCCATCTATTTATTCCATATTCAAATATATCATTTTTCAGCTGGGCGCAGTGGCTCACGCCTGTAATCAGAGCACTTTGGGAAGCTGAGGCAGGTGGATCACTTGAAGTCAGGAGTTCGAGACCAGCCTGACCAACATGGTGAAACCCTATCTCTACCAAAAAAAAAAAAATACAAAACTTAGCCAGGCATGGTGGCAAGCACCTGTAATCCCAGCCACTTGGGAGCCTGAGCCACAAGAATCGTTTAAACGTGGGGAGTGGAGGTTGCCGTGGGCCAAGGTTGTGCCACTGCACTCCAGCCTGGGTGACAGAGCGAGACTCTGTCTAAAAATATATATATATTTATTTATTATATATATATAATATATATATTATTTATAATATATGTATAACAAATATATATATAAATATATATGTTATTTTCAAACAGTCATTTATTCAAATTGTCAAATATATAATAAACACCTACGGCATGCCAAATGCAGGGTCAGGTGTGAGGATATGGCACTGAACAAGGATAGAGTCCCTAAGGAGCTTGCAGGTTAGCAGGGAAGACACATAAATAAGTTCTGACAACAGTTAGCATTTATGGCGGGCTTAGAAAGTGGAGCGGGACAGCAGATTCCTTAGTTCAAACAGAAAGTCAGCCTTGGCAAAGGCACTGTGCAATAACACAGAAGGGGCAAACGCATGACAGCTGTCAGGGACCTCAGAGTGCAGTGAAACCTGGGAACTGAGGCCCAAGGTAAGGAAGTGGCTCAGCCAGAATCCACATTTCAAATCACCCCTCCAATCTGCCACACACCGGGATCCCTTCCCATACCAGCCTTGGTGCCCCCAAGCCTGTGAGGATCATGCATGTGTCCGCAGTCAGGCCTTGGCAGAGTATCTCTGATGAGAGCAGAGTTGCCAAAGGCAGGGAGGGCTGTGTGCCTGGGGGAGCCAGGGCACCAGGGAGTATAATGGTGAGCACGGTTTCCAACAGCCACCCACGCCCAGGGCCCAAGACACCTGGGCAGGCGGATCTCAGGAAGAGAAAGCTTTAGGCCGGAAGAGTAATAATCATGGCAGTAACAATAATAAAAAGAAGCATTTCTTTGTACACAGCCTTATGATGTAGATACCATTAACCATTATTGCGGGCCACATTTTATGGCTGGAAACTGATTCAGGGAAGTTAAGGAATTTGACCAAGTGTGTATGGTGCCAGTAAGTGGTAGAGCCAAGATGTGAACCCAAGGAGTGTGACCCTAAGGCCTTCATTCTTTTTTTTTTTTTTTTTTTTTTTTTTGGATGGGGTTTTGGGTCTTTTTCCCCGGGCGGGAAGGCAATGGTGCCATCTCAGCTCACCGTAGTATCTGCCTCCTGGGATCAAGTGATTCTCCTGCCTCAGCCTCCCGAGTAGCTGGGATTACAGGCATGCACCACCATGTCCGGCTAATTTTGTATTTTTGGAAGAGACGAGGTTTCTCCATGTTGGTCAGGCTGGTCTCCAACTCTCGACCTCAGGTGATCCTCCCGCCTTGGCCTCCCAAAGTGCTGGGATTACAGGCGTAAGCCACCATGCCTGGCCAGGGCCTTCATTCTTAACCACGTCACTCGGCTGCCTCTTGGAACACAGGAGTGCGGAACCAAGCCTGCCCCCGGTGCACGGAAGCCAGAGCTTGAGCCTTTCAGTGGACCTCAGCCTCCTGCCCTCTATCCTCTCTTCTTGGACCATCACTGACTCCTCCCTTCTCCCTTCTGCTCCTAGGGGCTTTTTCCCTGTGGCCTTCAGCTTCCTGGGAAATGTCTACAACATCCCTTTCCTGAGTGAGGTAAGCAGATGATGCCAACAGCCCCGTGGGGGTGCCCTGTGGGGTGAGGCGGAACCCATGGAGCTGATAAAACTGCTGCCCCAGGGACAGGGGCCCCTCCCCTTTCTCCCCTGAGACCCCCAGCCCAGGTGCAGTGCTTTCGACTCCTCTTCCCCCTGCACCTTCTCCATTTGACAAGAGCCCATGAGGGGAGGGGATCCAGATGCAGTCGTAGCCGAGTCTGGCTGTAGAGGAAGGTAGCAATGAATAGCTTCCTGTTTACAGCTAAAGAAATGAAGATGCAGAGACTCTAGGTGACCCAACCAGTAAGTGCCTGAGATTTCTGGGGATCTGGCTAAGTGCTAGCCCCAGGATGTGTGACAGCCGATGACGGCAGGAAAATCTTTCCCGAGTGTGGCAGGTTTTATCCTCTCCTGGGGACAGGCATGGCCAGTGGTATCCAGCCCCTGCCGCTCCCCGTCCCTTTCTCTGAAGCATGTGGCAGAATATGAGCTCTCTGAGGAGCCCAGGGAGACCCTACAGCCAGCACCCCTCCACAGCCGCCAGCTGGACCCAGCCCCCTACAGCCCTTCTCATATCTGCGCCTGGCACAGCTCCCGGCTCTCAAGGCCAGCTCTGTAATAACCTAGATATTGCATCTGCTCTCTACCCTTTGTCTGGAGTAATGATTCTTGGCTCCCACAGCTGTTCCGGAGACTTCACGGCACGAGCTCGATGGTCTGAACAACAGAGATGAGCTCCTTGAACTTGGATCATTGGTTGAGAGGGCTGGAGGGAGAATAGGAACCACTCCCTCAGTCCCCAGCACTGACTCACACCCCATCATATATGGACCGCCTCAAGTCCAGAAGGAAGAATGGAGCTGAGCAGCTGATCTCAAATCCCCAAGTCGAGTCAAGAGGCTGCCAAGACTGTTGGAAGCAGAGATGCAGAGCCCCAAGGAGATTGGGCTGGGGCTGGCATTACACCCCTACTCTATATTTATGGGAGGAAAAGTGAAGATTAAATTCCCAAGCTGTGCGTGTGTCTGAGGCTCAAAGCTGGCGTCTTAGGGCGGGCATGGTGGCTCACACCTATAATCCCAGCACTTTGGGAGGCTAAGGCAGGCAGATCACCTGAGATCAGGAGTTCAAGACCAGCCTGGCCAATATGGAGAAACCCTGTCTCTACTAACAATACAAAAATTAGCCAGGTGTGGTAGCAGATGCCTGTAGGCCCAGCTACTCAGGAGGCTGAGGCAAGAGGATCACTGAATCCGGGAGGCGGAGGTTGCAGTAAGCAGAGATTGCACCCCTGCGCTCCAGCCTGGGCAACAGAGGCAGACTCCATCTAAAAAAATAGAAGTTGGCATCTTCAGCCAAGTAAGTCCACCTCCTGCTTCAGGGCAGGCCAAGGTACGTACACATCATCCCCCATAGTGAAGTTTTGGTCTATGAGGGTCAGTGCTGTCCTCATAGGCCATGATTTCTGTCCTGGCATTAAACAGCCCTAATGGGTGCGATAATCACATGTCTGCAGGCCCCTGCTAACAGCAAGCACCAGACAAGTGAGGAGTACCAACCTGCAGACCGCCGGCGTGCTTTTCAAGCATTAGGAGACCACCAGGTCGAGTTCTATCACATATATTAAGTGCTCCCATGGGCTGGGCAGTGAACGAAGAGTTGAGGGAATGTGTGTGTGTGTATATGTGTATGGTGTGTGTGCATGTGTATGGTGTGTGTGCATGTGCATGGTGTGTGTGCATGTGTATGGTGTGTGTGCATGTGTATGGTGTGTGTGTGCATGTGCATGGTGTGTGTGCATGTGTATGGTGTGTGTGTGCATGTGTATGGTGTGCGTGCATGTGTATGGTGTGTGTGTGCATGTGTGTGGTGTGTGTGTGCATGTGTATGGTGTGTGTGTGCATGTGTAAGGTGTGGGGGTGCATGTGTGGGGGTGCATATGTGTATGTGTCGAGCTTGTGTTGGGAGAGCTTCCTGTCTGAGGGTAGAGACATAGCCCCTGCCTTCAGAGACTCCCAGCGTAAGAGAAGAAACAGTCCCTGCTCTGGAGAGCCCCTTGTCCAAGGGTAAAGAGAGTCCTTGCAGGCTCAAGAAAGAGACAAAAGTCACTTGCAAAGCATGCAGTTAGCAAATATCCATTGAGGGCCCTCTCTGTATGTGCCCAGCGATGGAGTGGGTGCCGAGGGTACGGGGGAAGGGGGCCTGTCACTGTCCTCAAAGTGCTGTACCCGAGCAGTCACAAAATGGTATGGTGGTGGGTGCCGTGAGACAAGGGGGCGGGCCCCCAAGCTGGCTGTCCGGATGTGCTGCCACCTGAAAGTCCCCTCTCTGCACCCCTGGCACTTCCCACCTTCCAGAGCACCCATTTCATCCTCCTTGCTCATAGCTGGCTGCTTCCCTAATGCCTCTGACCACACCACAGCGTATTCACCTCAAAACCCTGTGCTGAGCAAGTGCTCAGTAACGGAGGAAAGAAGAGAAGCAGGAAGGAAGAAAAAAGGAGAGAATCCCACCACCACCCACCTGCGCCAGTCACAGGGCACAGTCCAGGAGCTGCCTGGAGACCCACGCTGACCTGGCTTTCCCGCAGAGCTGGGAGCGCGGGATGAGGAGCCCAGGTCAACCTGCGCCCTTTTCTTCCTTTCTCCCTGTCCTTCGCCACTTTGTCTACTTCAGACTAGGTGTGTCTGTGGCTCTTGTCGGAGAGGGAACGAGACATTTCACACTGACGCCTCTCCCCACTCTACTCAGATAGCACATTTCCACATTGTTTGGGGGCAGAATGGGTCCTCTGGGTGGGAAGAGGGTGTGGAGGAGCGGGTGAGGAGGAGAAAGCCCGTGTCAGAGGGCTTGGGTGGGGTGGAAGGAGAGGCTGCCTCGTCACAGAGCCCAGGGGCGCAGGCGGCCCGGGGGCTGTGCTCTCCAGGAGGGTCTGAGGAGGAGGGAGGGCAGCAGAGTGGGCCTATGCTTGGAGACGTCACAGGGCATCATAAAAGGGATGTGATCAGGGAGCTGGCGAGAGTGAGCCCAGGAGCCCAGCTGCCCACTCTCTGAGCGTTCACCCAGCCAGGTGGTCTCGTCACCTCAGCAGCTCCGCCAAGCTTCTGCCCAGGCCAGGACTGAGGCAAGGTAGGCACATTGGGCATCCACCCTTGGGGAGGGGGTCTGCCCTGACCGGGGGATGCTCCGGAGCAGAGCAGGGAATCTGTTCGAAGACAGACAGATGCATCGGGGCAGGCAAAGGCAGGGAAGGGGGACACTGACCTTTCCTGTTTACCAGCCTGACCCGATTATCCTGGGATACCTGGGTGAACACACTGAGTCGCACTTTATTTGTGAAGCCAGCACTCTGGGGATCCGGAGGGCTCTCTCTTGCTGCAGAAGGAATACATGCAATCAGTGAACGCTGTGGCTGCAATTAGAGAGCACAGACACTTTTGGATGGACCTTGGATGGACAAGCCAACCAAGGGCACCTACCAAGAACTAGGGTCCACCTTACTTCAAAAGCTTTCCTGCTATACCCAGAATTTCTCTGTTACTCACTGTATACAAACCCCCCAGAGTGGAGGGAACCACAGAAATTGTCTACAGCAGGTCAGCCACTCATGGCCCCTTTCCAAATCATTCCATTCTACCACATACATTAAGTGCCCCCATGCCTTTTATCTTTAATCATGTTTGTTGAACAATCTCAACGTGTCTGATGACTTTTTCAAAAAGAAATGAGAGTTGGGAGCTGGAGGAGATGGGGTGAGGTTTGTGTGCGGGTGATGAGGCAGAGCAAGGCAGGGTGATGGGAAATGGTGTGAGGATCAGGACACATGGCTCCCATCTCAGCAGCCAAAATGATGAGGCCAATTCAATTCATAGCCTCTCAGAGTCCACAATGAATAGGCTATGGAGATAATTGACCTGATAAATCAAGGAAAGGTTTTTCTCTTCCCTGAATTATAGGCAATAAGACAATTTAATGACCATCTTCAAGGCTGTGAAGGGCTATGAGAGAGAGCAAGATTATTGCCTCTTTCTTCCTTTATCCTTAGCAAAGAAAAAGAATCAAATTTATCTTACAGCAGGAGAGAACAAGGTCAGACTCAGGCATAAGGTCCTGTCCCTGACCTAGTCTTTGTTTCCTCTCTCTGTCTCAGCCTCAAGGCGCTCCTGGGACCTCTTCTTCTCGCCAGGATGAACTCACTGGTTTCTTGGCAGCTGCTGCTTTTCCTCTGTGCCATCCACTTCGGGGAGCCATCAGAAACGGCTCCCGTGGAGAATCCTAGACCTGCAGGTATGCATCCTCTGGGGAAAGGGGTGGGCGGGAGCAAGTGGCTTGTTGCAAAATGAGCTTTCCCGTATTTTCCAGTTAGTCGGTTGGTGTGAGTTTAACACTGCGTTTGGTGGAAACCTAAGACTGGCACATGTACAGCTCATCGAGGGGTCCCATTAACCTTGCAAGTGAGGGATGCCTTGCCTCTGTGATGGGCCTCAGTCACCCACCTAGGTTCCAGGGCTTGTTAACCCCTGAGCGCCTTCATGATTTCCTCACACTGCGTTCTCTGCTCTGCGTCAGCAACCTCTCTGTACTCATGTTGAGGAAGAACTTCACATGCAACCTTCCTTTATCAGATTCTTTGTGGAGAATTTGAAAAAAAAACCGAAACAAAAAGATTTTTTTTTTTTTTGAGTTGGAGTCTCACACTGTCACCCAGGCTGGAGTGCTGTGGCATGAGTTTTGCACTTCCAGAGTGCAGCTTGCTGCAACCTCTGCCTCCAGAGTTCACATGATTCTGCTGCCTCAGCCTCCCCAGTACCTGGGATTACAGGCGCACACCACCACACTCGGCTGAGTTTTTGTATTTTCAGTAAAGACAGGGTTTCACTACGTTGGCCAGACTGATCTTGAACTCCTGACCTTGTGATCTGCCCATCTCAGCCTCCCGAAGTGCTGAGATTACAGGTGTGAGCCACTGCACCCAGCATGAAAGGAGAGATCTTTGATACTGCCTTTTGGGGACAATGAACTGTCTCCAGTTCATTGGGGAACTGATGAGCTGGAAATTTTGAGACCCACAGAGGTAAAGAGAATTCCCTAGAGTTGCTCGGTCAAACACTGGAAAACCAGCAGGTGTCAGAGCACCCCAGGAGTGTGTCTGGTGAGTGGCACGAGCTAGAACAAAGCGAGTCCCCAAGTCAGGAGCTGTGGCTTGGAACACTTCCTGGCATCAGCTTTCTGGGCAAACTAGAACCCATAGTTTAGCTTCTCTGGACCTCAGTTCCCCCAGCTATGAAACTTGGGGCATGCCCTCTACACATTTGACGTCATTTTATGTGCCCATAAGACCTCCCAGAGCACAGAGGACATGACCTTTGCCAAACGTATCTTCTGTCCTGGGATCAGCCATTTTTCTGGGTGAGGGAGGCTGTTCCAGACGATAACCACACACTGCCCAGGAACACAGACTTGTTGGCTTATTTTGGCGAAAAGATTTAGGTGAGGTCACCAACAGCAGCCTGAACAGTGATACACTGCTGGTCTAGTGGGTGCAATGGGGGGGAAGCCATCCTCCTCCTATTTCAGCCAAGCCCTGGACAAGGGCGGAGGGACCCCGAAGGTGACTGCCATTAACTCTGGTCCAGGTCCACACTCCTCTTTTCCAGAGTGCCAGCGCATGGAGAAGCAGGGCTGAAAGCCAGCCCCCACCCCAGCACACCCATTCACACACCAGGCCTCATTTCCACTAATCTCTTGCCACAGTGGGCTGGGGGTATTGTCTACTCAGAGCTAGTTGCCCTATTTTACTGCCAAAAAGTACAGTGAACTTAATGAGCCTTGCATGTGAAGTGCCTTCCAAATTATCCTTGTTAATCCTCAAATGAAGGAGAGAAGTTATACCCAGATGGAGGAAGAGAGCCAGTTAAGGTGACCTAGATAGTTTTTGTTTCTCGTTGAGTCCTTATGCAGCTTATTGGGGGGGGAGGGTCACAATTCTTATCAAAGACCAGGGTTGGAACACAGGTGTGTGGGGCCACAGTAGCTTAGCTCCACTTTCTTGATTCCTGTTACTGCATGTTTTTTATTAGCTTTTATGTATTTAACAAGCCTTTATTGAGGCCCCACTATGAGCAAGCCACTGTTTCAAGCACTCTGAGAGATACAGAGTTGAATGAACATGGCCCCATCACCCTAGGAGCTCACAGCCAGGAAGAGGCCCAGAGCTGGGTGTTGAGCAAATCCTTCAGTTTTCTTTATTTCCACGACCTACTCTGTTTCCTAAAAGGAAGTAATGTCATATGAAAGTTATTTAAGCTAATTTTGGCAAACATTCTAAATCAAAGCTATGTTGGAAGAGAGAGGTGCCAGGCCTGAGATGATCCCAGCTAAGATGGTCGTGCTGGTTCTGCATGGCAATTGGCCCCGAGCTTCCAAAAAGTCAAGGAAGGAAAAGAAGGATAGGATGCGATGTGAGGAGGCGTTGCCAAGCGGTCTTTCCCGGTCCGGCCTCATCTCTCTGTGCTCTCTGTCCTAGGCCAGCAGCTGGGATCCCTGGCCCTCCTGGTCCCCTGGGAGCAGAGCCTGCGCAGCGCGCAGAGGAAGCCGGCTGCAACTGCCAGGCTGAGCCGTGCGCTGTGCGCACCCTCCGAGAGTCCCCAGCAGACGGGCCCGTGCGCCCCCAGCAGCCGCCAGATCCCCGCACCCCGGAGCGAGGTGCCGCGGGAGCTGCCGCCGCCCTACTGGAACGTCTTCAGCCTGCGCTATGGCTAGCGGGAGGCGGCACCGGGAGCCACGGCGAAGGCGCTGGGCGGGGCTGAGGGCGCAGGTGCGGGGCAGTGAGCTTCAGACCCTACAGGAGTCAGAGCATGCAGGGCGGGGCGGGGTGGTGGGGGGACGCCGGGCAAAGGGAGGGGGCGCTGGAGCTTCCGGGCCTAGGCAATAAAAGAAATGTTGCATAAGTCACCGACTTGTGATCTGTGGCTCATTTTTGCAAGTAACTCTGATGAAGCTGTTCCTCTTCCAACCTCACTGGATAGTTAGCTGGTTTCAGGATGCCCCTGGTGTCATTAAGGTCAGTGCTTCTCACACTAGATGTAATGAAGGAACAGGCGGTTAGTTCTCCAATCCATTGCAGATTGGTACTTAAAACAACAAAACAAAACAAAACAAAAAAACAAAATTGATCACTGAAAACCCGAAAAATTTAAAAACAACAAAAGACCAAATTGGATGGTGCTTGAATGTTTCAGCAATATGAAATTTCTATAAAAACTCTGGAGCTGTCCTCAAAATGCCTAGACTTAGCCGTCTGAGGATGGGTAACATTTTGCAGAGGGACATGGCCCACACTTTGAGTAGTATTGGGGGGTAAGGGCGGTGTGCAGGAAATGGACTGATTAAGTACCTTTCCCTTTCCCAGAGAAGTTGGGCAGCTTGATCTGGAAGATGATGCCAGTCACTGCTCTGTCCATTGAGGCTTAAATATCGCCTGAGCCCCACAGTCAGACCTCTGCTGGGGTCTTGGATGCAAGGGGCATCGACAGCGGACCAGCCACTCGCTTTCCCCTCTCCCCTCCAGGGAGCCAGGTTGAGTCTTTACACATATTGCTTTTCTTCATCCTCATAACTACCCAGGGTGATGGGCATGCATTAGCCCCATCTTTATAGGCAGAGCCATGAAGTTGAGAGGGATAAATCACTCGCTCCAGGCACGTGGGCAATGAAAACACCTAATAGTTCTCCTGATACCGGAACCTGTTTTCCCCACTGACCTGTCCTGCCTCTCTGCCATGGCAGGGTTTCCATCAGAGTCAGCCAGATGCAGATCAAGAAAGGGTAGCCTGCCTCATGGGGACTTACGTGGGGGTGCAATAGCTGGGGAGTAGAAATCATGGTAGGAAGAGGAAGAGCTCATCAGTGGGAAAACCCCAGGAAATCCACCTCCTGCCCACAAGAAGACACAGCACTATTTAATAGCCTCGGGGTACCCCTATGCTCCACAGTCTAGGATGAAAACGTTCTTACCAAGAGGGACGGTAGGACCCACCCTCATACAGTGACGTACCACAGCGTTCCACCCATTACGGAAACCAGGACTCCACAGGATGAAAGCAGAGCTGTGTTACTATGGCAACGAGATCGGCTGTCACGAGATCATGACAACCTGCTCCCCCGTCTCTACCTTTGAAAGTGCTCTCCAGGATCTCTCAAATTATCGATACTGCTGTGAGCTCACATCATCACGTGTCATGACAGCATGGTGTTGGTATTTGGAAGGGTTTTTTAATCCCTAAACACCCTGGGATGTGTCTCTGTACCTCTAGGAGCAGAATCATCAACTCAACACCTATTCTGTTAAGCATGTTGTTCTCCTAGCACCTGGAAGCACGCCTCTCGCTGATGATGGGTAGGAAGAGGCTGACGGTTTCCTGAATTCTGCTCTAAGCCAGCCTAAGTTTTACCAAACTTCCTGTGACCCCATTTACCCTTCCTCACAAGCTTAAGTTTAGGCAGATGGGAGATGTGCATGCTGCTTCAAGTGCAGGAGAGGGAAATGTGTTCTCTGGCGTGAGAAGCTGGCCTGTGTGTGAGCGGGCATGCATGTGGGGGCTAGATATGAGAAATTGCACACATGTTCATATGCACATGCCTGTGTGACGTTGTGTATGGTTCGGGTTCCTCTAACCATCTTCTAGTCCTTGTCAGCACTGCTGCAATCCAGGAGTCCTCCAAGATCTCTCGTCTAGTTGACCAGAGGCCCTGCTTCAGCAGACAGCTGGAAGAGAGGGGAATGCCTGTCCCATGCTTCTAGCAGCCTGAACTGCTACCTTTGAGACTCTGGGCTTTGCCGTTTTTGGCCCTGTGTCTTGGGAAAAGATGGGGAGTCTCTGTGGAACAAAAGGGATTTCTGATTTCATATGGCTCTCAGCCTATGAACCTGCTCTCCAGATCGAAGCGAAGGAGAGGGGAAGATTGGAGGCTGTGAAGGGCCACAGGGATACCCTTCCCTCCCTCCGGCCTTTCTGGTGGGCTCAGAGAGTGGGGCACCGGAGCCCAAACACTTGGAGGTAGGGCTGCCCATGGTCACTCGAACCTACTTCTTCCTGGGGTCTCTGGACAGTGCCCAAGGGGGAGAAATCAGCAGGGCCCGGGCATCCCTTGTGGGTGGAAGTGGGAGGATCTCTTCCCAGGCTCCACCCCTTTTGGTAAGTCTCAATAGATGCTGGCTAGGAATTTGGGGGCAGGGGTGAGAGGGATGCAGGCGGTTTCTCCTCTGTCATCACTCTTATCATATTCACAAGCCATTTCTTGAGTACCTGCAGCCTGCCAAGCACAGGCCTACCTCATTGCGTCCTCACAACTGCATGAGGTGGGAATACTATCCCCATTGCATGGAAGAGAAAAGTGAGGCTTGAAGAGGTTAAGTGGTGTGCTCAAGTAGCTGTAAAGTCATAGAGCCAAGAGTCAGACTCCCACATTCTAATTGCAAACACCATCAGCTTCCTACACACTGTAGCCTTTCCTTCTTCTGTAGCCCCCACCCCACTTAAAAAAAAAAGCGCTGCCAGGTAGCAGACCCAATCCTTTTCCTGAATGATTTGTCTTGGGAAGCAGTGTGGCAGACAATGTCACTCAACCCAACCCATCGGCAGCGCCTCTCCACAACACTAGTGACAATACAGACAGGTCACCAATCCCCAGGGCAGGTCTCCTCTTCTCGGGTGGCATGCCAGGGCCCAGACATCTGCTTTTGCCCCTGCCTGCCTTCTCTCTCTGACAGCAGCTTCCCAGGTCTAGAATTGGTCACAGGGAGGGGAAGGACGTCAAGTCCAAAGAGTGTGCCCTTCCTCACCATCTGTGCCTTCTTCCATTTTCCATTTTAAAAGACATCAGAACCCATCAGGGTTTCTTGCTTGGTTTAGAGTTGGGAGCCTGGGGCAGGGCTTGTTTTTGGTTACTGGGGAAGCCAAGTCACAGAAAACAGCTAGCTCCCTAGCTTCATCACCCTGTGGGGATGAAAATTAGATATGATTCCTCTAATATCTGCCTAATAGTCTTTACAATTAACCCTGCGGCATATTAGCGTCGTAAAATGTTAAAAAGTACCATTTTGAACACATCTGTGTTTGCTCACTCCCTAAGCCCCTTAAAAGACGGCAAAGGAGGCCAGGCATGGTGGCTCACACCTGTAATCCCAGTACTTTGGGTGGCCAAGGTGGGTGGATCACCTGAGGTCAGGAGTTCGAGACTAGCCTGGCCAATGTGGTGATACCCTGTCTCTATTAAAAATACAAAAATTAGCTGGGTATGGTGGTGTGCGTCTGTATTCCCAGCTACTCAGGAAGCTGAGGCATGAGAATCACTTGAACCGGGAGGCAGAGGTTGCAGTGAGCCAAGACTATACCACTGCACTCCAGCCTGGGTGACAGAGTAAGACTCTGTCCCCAGCCCCCACCAAAAAAAAGAAGAGAGAGAGAGAGAGTGGCTGAGAAGCGGGACTGTGTGACGGCCTCTCTGGATAAGCCCCCTCCTCTCTCTGTGCCGAGAATGCAGGCAGCAAGGCATATATTCCCCATGCGGGAGACCAGAGACCCCAAAGAAGAGACCTTCGGATGTTGACATTGGAGGATCCCCCCCAAAAAACCTATCCATCTAGAGTGGTAGCCCCCATCTAGAGTGGGGCGAACCTGCCCATGACTTCTCCCTATGCACCCTGAGTTTCTAGGCCCTTCCACTTTCTTCCCTCTTAACCGTGCATGAGTCAAGGAGTCATAGGAGTTTGAAGAAAACTTCAAGTTGGAAGAGTAGACCAAGCACACGAATACAGAGGAAACAAGCTTTCCGCAGAAAACAGATACAATTTTTTATGTGTGGTTAATAAAACAAAAATTACAAAATTTCCCATCTTTCCGAGTGCAATCTCAGCACTTTGGGAGGATAACTTGAAGGATAACTTGAAGCCAGGAGTTCAGGAGCAGCCTGGGCAATGTAGGGACCCTGTCTTTACAAAAAATAAAAATATTAGTTAGGCATGGTGGTGTGCTCACACCTGTAATCCCAGCACTTTGGAAGGCTGAGGTGGGAGGATCTCTTGAGTTCAGGAGTTTGAGACCAGCCTAGACATCATAGAGACCTTGTTTCTTAAAATAAACAAAACTAAAAAAAGACTCGGCTGGGCGAGGTGGCTCACGCCTGTAATCCCAGCGCTCTGGGAGGCTGAGGTGGTGGATCTGAGGTCAGGAATTCGCGACCAGCCTGACCAATAATGATGAAACACTATCTCTACCAAAAATACAACAAGTAGCTGGGCGTGGTGGCACGCACCTGTGGTCCCAGCTACTTGGGAGGCTGAGGCAGGATAATTGCTTGAACCAGGGAGGCCAAGGTTGCAGTGACCAGAGATTGTACCACTGCACTCCAGACTGGGTGACAGAGCGAGACTCTATCTCAAAAAAAAAAAAAAGAAAAAGAAAAACAAACAAACCAAGCAAAACAAAACCGTAAGATCCCTGAAAGTATAAAAGAAAATTCTGTATCTATAGCATCTATAAGACAAGTAGCAGATGCAATAAAAACAGAAGTTATCAGAGAATCAGAAAGGGCCTTTGGAAGTTAAAAATAAGAGATCAAAATTAAAAAAAAAAAAAAAAAAAAAAAAAAAGGACAGGCATGGTGGCTGTAATCCCAGCACTTTGGGAGGCTGAGCCAGGTGGATCACGAGGTCAGGAGTTCAAGACCAGCCTGGCCAACATGGTAAAACCCCATCTCCACTAAAAATACAAAAATAAGCCAGGCGTGGTGGTGGGCACCTGTAAAGCCAGGTGAGCTTGAGCCGGCCTGGGGCCTGTGGTGACCTCTATGACTCCTGCACACCCAGGCCCAGAGGCAAGAAAGGCCTGAGCTTTTATTTTGTCAAAAACCGAGGGGTGGAACATGAGAGAAATTCTCATCTACTACAAAAGAAGAGTAATAAAAATGTATAAAATTTTGGCCAGGAATGATGGCTCATGCCATCATTCCTGGTAGTTTCCAGCACTTTGGGGGACCGAGGCAGGCGGATCGCCTGAGGTCGGAGTTCAAGATCAGCCTGGCCAACTTGGTGAAACCCTGTCTCTACTAAAAATACAAAACTCAGCGTGGCATGGTAGTGGGCGCCTGTAATCCCAGCAACTTGGGAGGCTGAGGCAGGGAGAATGGCTTGAATCTGGGAGGCAGAGGTTGCAGTGAGCCGAGATCATACCACTGCACTCCAGCCTGGGTGACAGAGTAAGACTCCGTCTCAAAAAAATAAATAAATAAAAAATGTGTAAAAATTTAAAATTAAGAATGGCATCTTTCTTTAAAAGTTTATACATCACCTTTAGAATATGCATGACTAACAATAGCAGAACAGTCCAGAGAGTTAACAGTCTTACCTTGGAGGAGCCAGGCTGGGGGCTGGAGGTGGGGGTGGGATTGGAGATTGGTGGTTTTCATGTAAACCTTTTAGTTGTACTTGTTTTTAAAACTACAGCATGTTTTCTTCTGATTAAAAAAATATTAAGTCCAGCCTGGCCAACATGGTGAAACTCTGTCTTTACTAAAAAATAAAAAAATTGGCTGGGCGTGGTGGCATGCACCTGTAATCTCAGCTACTCTGGAGGCTGAGGCAGGAGAATTGCTTGAACCCAGGAGGTACAGATTGCAGTAAGCTGAGATCGCACCACTGCACTCCACCCTGGGTAAAAGAACAAAAAAATCTCAAAAAAAAAAAAAAAAAAAAAAGGAGGAAAGAGGAAGGGAGGAAGGGGAAGGAAGGAAGGAAGGAAGAATGAGAGAGGTGGGTGGGGAGGGAGGAAGAGAGGTTAATTTTCCGGGAAATGTATTATTATTATTTTTGAGACAGAGTTTTGCTCTTTTTGCCCAGTCTGGAGTGCAGTGGCGTTATCTCGGCTCATCACAACCTCAGCCTCCCAGGTTCAATAGATTCTCCTGCCTCAGCCTCCCGAGTAGCTGGGATTATAGGCATGTGCTACCACGCTTGGCTAATTTTGTATTTTTAGTAGAGACGGGGTTTCTCCATGCTGGTCAGGCTGGCCTCGAATTCCCGATCTCAGATGATTGGCCCACCTCAGCCTCCCAAAGTGCTGGGATTACAGATGTGAGCCATCACACCCGGTGGGAAATGTATTCTTGAGGTACTGATAAAGATTTTTTGCTTGGCCAAACTTTAGTCAGGGCTTTCTAATCTTCTGCTAGAGTTATCTGGGCACTTCCTTGTAAAATCCAGTTTTAGCAAAGAGCCCTGCTGAGTCAATTTAGCAAATAATCCCCACCCTCATTATCTAATCACCCTGGAAATGTGACCAGGTTCCTCAGCCTGCACCATGCCCCAGGTGATGTCTGATCACCCCGTCTGTTAGATGAGTTTAGCCAGAATCCCCCATGCCTCTGAGGTTCCCTCTTAGTAATTCTCATCCACTGACCCACCCTGCTCCTTGGCTTTGCATTTTCTTTTTTTTTTTT